TAGTGGTATCAATTGCTAACTACAGGCTGACTGGTGAACAAAAAAGCTGGTGATGAAAATGTTCAGTTTCTGCTTCATAAGGAGTCTCTTGAAGCGAATCTCAGACAAACAAATGAGGCTTCCTATACATACACTACTCAACCAATAAAAAATATTAAACACAAAATTTCAGCAGCGTGTGGGGGAAATTTAGTTCCTGGTCCACAGGAAGCATACAGTCTAGTTCTGTATGTAAAGACCTACAGAAAATTCTTAAACTGGATTATAAATAAGAATTAGAAAAAAAAAAAATGAGTCCAGATATAAAAGAGACCAGGGAGGGCTGGGCTGGAAAGACAGGTATAGTATTTGATAGCAACATTCTTTTTGAAGGAAGGTTATTTTGATTTAATGCCAAAAGTCAAAGAAAGATCAAATTAATGTGCCTGGGAGACAGGAAAACAACGGGAAATGATTAAGATGCAACACACTATAAAAATCCTTTAAAATAAGACAAGGAAGTAGACAGAATACAGGAAGCCATTAGAGGTTTTGTCCCAGATTTTGAAGATTGGTGTGTAAACAGAGACTATATGGAGACATGATCTGGTCATGAACAAATGAATCCTAGGTTTTGCTCTTTTACGGAAACAACTTTCTAAGAGATCTTGGTGAGAGAGTGCTATACAAAATGAAACTTAGACATCTATACAAGTAAATGTATTAAAGTTGATAAGCATCCTTGAGACTGAACATATATCTAAGAAAAAAATGCAAGTTCTTATCTAACAGAAGCTACTGGATGGAAACAAATAATAAGCAAACTTTACCTTTAAATTAATAAGATTTTGACTTTTTCTCCCGTTTCCTAAAATCTTAGTTTAACTGCCAGTGTTTTCTGTTCCTTTCTAGGGAAGAACATTTTTTTTAGACCAAGTGATGGCAGAGAGTGAGCATGAGGACCAGCTAGAAGCGGTCAGTCACCCCCGCTGCTTCTGTGAGTAAACATTCGCACAGTGAGCACCTTAGAGTTCCTCTCTCACACTTCTTATTGGTTGTGGTTGCAGATGTTATCAACAATCCACAAAGCAGGCTCTGTTCTTTAGTGTTGGTTACTGAAGCAGCTGTTCAATTAATTAAGTCAGTATATTTTCCAAGTCTGATTAAGATATGTTTATTTTTGCTTTCACAAAACAGCTGTGATGTAAGTACTAAAATTGATGTTCTGAGAAACTCAAAATAAAATTAAAACCATCATATGTTGTCCAGTTCAAGTAAAAGTTTACTTTTGGATCTTCCGGTTTTATTTATATTTATAAGAATACTAGTATACATCAACGATGCGAGATTTTGACTTCTTTTATTTTATTTCTAAGTACTTGAAGGTTAGCTGTTGTTTTTAACCTCTAACATAGAGGTTTAAAACATGAAAATGGAAAATGCAAATGCTGAAATTGGTTCCACTAAGCAAAGCAGGTGATCCAAGCAAGAGGACTGAACTTGATTTGAATTGAGTATTGCTGTTTCCCGACGTTTCATGGGGCAGTTTGTTGAAATATAACAGTAGTTGTGGTATATTAACTAGAACCTAGAACTTTATGCGAGTCAAATGAAAGGAGAGAAAAAGGAGGGCATGATTTAAAGAAAAAAAATCTGTTACACAAATAAGACAAAAGCTTAGAGGCAACTCAACTGCTACAGATGTGCTGCATCTGCTCGCTTGCCCACTGGGGACCAGGAGATAAAGAGATTAAGACATTTACACAAAGATGGTTAGACAACAAGATCAGATAAGCAACATGGCAGTTAAGTCGAGATACTAAAACCATCGCATAGAGAAGATGACCCACTAAACCACCTGTCCCACTTTCAAACAATGTTGGTAAATCATTTACTGTTCAAATGATATTTTAATCAGGGTAGACAATGAGCTGGTTAATTTTAAGATGTTACTAATATTCTGAAATGGAGAGAAACAAGTGAACTTTTAAAAATGAATTTACTTAAGTAAACAGCATTGGGGTTTTATAATGGGGCATGAATATTCTTATGTCTTTTAAAGACAATTCTAAGTCAGGACAATATTTTAAAATCCCATTTTCACATGAGAATAATAGAAAATCTTAATTATGATGCATGTGAAAATATTTGTGGGATGCTCAGAAAACATGTTAGTTTGTTTCCCCTTGGCTTACTACAAGGAAATTTTTCCTGCTTCTTACTTTATGCACTGCTGTTTTCTCTCTAATTTCAAACATTCACATGCTTATACCTGAATACTGTGGATATAATAGAATACAGAGGTGTACATAATCTGTAGATCCCTCACTTTCCAAACTCAACAATTTAAAAAATATACAGCACAAAAATAAACTCCAAAATAGCAAAATTTTAAATTTTTCAGAAAGCTGTAGAAGTCAGAAAGACTAATATTGTGTATAATACATAAATAGTTGTTGATATAGAATACATATATACTATTAATATAGAATATATAATTGAATAATGCTATAAAATAGAACATTACAAGTTATGAAAGAAATAGTAGATAGTCACTCTTTCTGGGTCCTGCTGAAAAGGAGTCAGGTAATCTAGTCACCCCCAAATTATGACTTGAAGCTAACATTCTAAATTTGAACTGACAGAAATAGACCTTACTATTCCTAATTAACCAGGTTCAACATCTCCTTTCTCTCCCTCTCAATTATCAGTTACAAAGGAAAAGTGCTATTACATCATCTCCTTGTTACAAACATATGTTCATGCCCAATTCTTGCGATAATATTGCTTCCTTTAAAAAAAGTAAAAATTTCATAAGCCTTTAGATTCTTTTATTAAAAAAGAAGAAAGATTTAATCCATCTATATCATTTGAAACCTAAATTTTCTTGCTCACGTTATTTGTGGGAGCGTACCATGAATCAGGTAAACTTAGGGCCATTTCCAACAAAACATAAATGAATTTTTCTCTCTAAACCCCACTCCTGGCTTCCTATCTGTGCTGCTATGTATCACTTGACCCTATGTCTTGATTTGACTGACCTACATTTTTTATTAATTTTTTTAATTAAATAAATTTCTATAAACCAACTTAAATCCTTTCTGAAACAACGCTAATTGAAAGAAAATATATGAAATATATGAGATACTGGTGCATATACCAAAGTTATCAAATCCTATGTAATCTAAAGGTGTTCTAGGAACTGAGGAAAACTATAAGCAAGCTCGCCCTCTCTATCCTCTATTAAGGCTGAATGTGCTCAATTATAATAAACATTTAAAGGCAGAAACCTCATTGCACAATAAAAAAAAAGTGCTTTAAGCTCTTAGACTTTGAATCTATGTTGTGATATATTTAAAGAGGTTATAAAAGTCCTGGTGATTCTCTCTGTGAAGAAACAGCCTGACACAGGAGTGGAGCCAGTGAGGCAGAGAAAAAGCCCAGAGAAGTCGAATCTCAGCAACAATCCCTCAGTTAACACATCAAGAAAATAACCTAATTACTGGAAAGCGAGAAAAAGAAAATAAAAAGTCTGAAAGGGTAGAGAAGCATTAAATGTGAACACACAAATTTGTCTTTGCTATGGAACAAGAAATCAGCCTAGATCCTGAGGGTAGCCATTAAAAGCAGAGACTGGATGTTTGTTCAACACGTGTCGATGAATGAGAAGAAGCCAAGAAACAGAAAAAAGACTAATTTTAATTACCAGAAAGGCTGCAAGAGAAAGAACCCAGAGCTCGTGGCAGGAAAGCTTCCAGCTACAGGCTGCATGGCACTGTACTCTCCTTGCCAATTAGAGCCAGTCAGACCCCATCGGGGGATTAAGTGAGCCGAAGAATCAGCCTCAGTGCAGGGTCAGGCTGGACTCACACACATGGAAAAGGGACACCAGTCGACACCGGGTGTAACTTGAGGCTCTCATACAGTTTCCTATACTGTCGACGTACAGAAAAAGAAAACAGTATGTGGCATCTCCTTTCCATTAAATATAGGTGCAAACAGCTTTCTCTATGGAAATGCATTGCAAAAGAAATGTAATATAATTGAACAAATGCTCAATTAGCATCAAATGAATCAAGAGAATTAGAGAATGACTCAGAGACTGAGAGAGGAAAAGTAGAGGGGAGGACTTGCTGAACAATGGCACTAAAGCTGCCACACTGTGGATTTACTACCTGTGTTATTTTTCCAATTACATCCATTGTGATATAAAAATTCAGAAAAAGGGCTGCTGTCTGAGACTAAGCCGACTATTTCCTTCGCTTATTTAGAACTGACACGAGGGGAAAAAAACAAGAAGGAAAAACAGTCAGAGAGCCTGAGAGTCCTTAGATAAAACTCTCAAGTGTATAAACAAAGAGAAGCGCTTCCCAGGCAGGACCTAAGGAAATCCTCCAAAGTGAAAAGTCCACTCTGGAGCCGACCTGAGCGAACGCAGAGGTCTCGGCTGCTGTCTGAGGTAAAAGCCACTGACTCTGGAATCAGAAAGAAGAGCGGAGAGGCGAGGAGAGGCAGAAGTCGCCTGCGATCTCCCGGGCAGCCAGCAGCGCACACGTCTGCTTTGTAATCTATGCATGTGAAATTCGCAAGGTTGCCGAGCCGAGAAGCAGGGGTGGGGGGAGCCCTGCGTCCTTAGAGCGAAGGGAGATACCGGTGGACGAGCGACACGAGTAGAGAAACATATAAAACCCTTCTTGAGGCAAACAGACCTTTAAGCCCGGGGACATGCTAAATGAAGCTTTTCAGCGAGAGGCAGTGAGGCGCTGGGCGCGGGCGAAGGCGACAGCGCGGGCGAGCGGGGAGGGGCGAGGGACCACACCGGGAAGGACACAGCCAGTCAGAGGCGCGGGGCGCGGGGCGCGCGGACGCATTGGAGGAAAACACGCGAGCCCCAAACACACCAGCCCGAGGAGGCGCCGCACCTACTTCCCAATATAACCAACTACGGAGTCAGGAAGCATAACTGCGAGGAGGCGGCCGCCAAAGTGCCATTAAAGCTCGGGGCGGAAAGGATGCGTTACCTGGGTCCCCTCTTCCGAGAGACGCAGGGCAAGCTGGAGGATTCCCTCTGAATGATTAAGAACTCCGCAATTCTCTTCTGCCACAGGCTGAGAAGGACCCAAGGAACTGCTCTCTCTGAACTGTGCCGACGGGCAGGAGGATGGGAGAGGGGAATTGAGAGTCGCAGAGGAAGGACAGGGGAGTCTGGCGTCTCATTGGTAAGTGGCTGACATTCCTTTGCCAGTGACTGCTTTCTGTGACTGTGCACTTCATCTCGCAGGCACTTAGAATATTTGACACATTCGCTTCTGTAAAGCCATGCTTTCTTGCCATGTTGCCAGAATTTAAAAACTGTAGATAAAGATCTTTTTTGTTGTTGTTGTCTTTTAATATGCTATTTTTCTCTGCTGGAATTTTCTGTCAGAAAAGTTGAAGCGAGAGTACATTTAACCTATATGTGTATCTCATAATATCAGCCAAAATCAGAGTAAACAATTTCTACAACTAAACTGTAAGGTGGCAAATGCTAGGATAGGGTGAGAATTTTCTACAAAGGAACTAAATGTTCAGAAAGTAGGATGTCATTCTCAGGTACTGGATGTATATCTTATGATTGAGCAATGTGTTTGTGAGGATACAGCCCAAATAACTGGGCATCTGGCAGTGCAATAACTTGTTAAAATTCAGTAGGAATGCTCTCTAAGTGGAGTTCTACAAAGTTCGAGAGACGAAAAGAAACAGTATCTTGGATTATGCTGAGGTGTTTTCTAAATGTTGTGTAGGAATGTGATAGGTTTTTAAAGAGAATGTGAAAATATGTTCAGACATCCTTATTGAGTTTTTTTTTGTTGAAAAATGGGAGAGAATATTAATTTGCATATATATGAGCATGTTGTACAATAAGCTGAGGATTACTCTGACAACCTCAAAATTTTTGAGTTGTTTTAACTAACTTTATTTTGGAAATAGAAGAATCCACTAAATATTTTAGAATTATTTTGTTTTTAAATTTTATAACCTCTGTAGCATGAAAAATACAATTCAATGTGGTAATTGAAATGAAGATTTGGAAGCAAAAAAACTTTTAAACTGTTATATGTGAAATGCCTTATCTGTATTCAATTCACCTACTTCTCTTCTTAATTTAAAAGATGAAATCATTTAGAGATGCTGTACTTCTACCTTGATTCTCAGTTTTAACTGTGGATTTAGGGATAAAAAAGTAGATGTTCACTAGGGCACTAGCATTAAAAAATACAGACAAATAAATAGTGGGTCATATTTAAAAACTAGTGGAGGCATAATTGATTACTGTTAAATTGCAGCAAAACTGCAGAAATACTTACGACTATCACAGCAAGCTTAAAGGAGTTCATCATGATTCATATTGTGGCCCTAAACATAAAAGAATTAGTAATGATTAGGGCATTATGTTTTTCAAAGTAACTGTAGTCAATTTTAAGCATCTCAACAGATGTTTCTTTCCATATTTTCCTACTTCATGCTCAAATTACTATAAGTTCTGTGTAAACCAGGAGTATATTGAGTCTCAAACTTGGTAGGTATGTGTTGCCTCTGATTCAAATGGAAAAACCAATATAACTGGGTAAGAATATATATCACATAAAACAAATGATTGAAAAATATAAAGACCAACTAAGTGTAGTACAGGAAACAAAGCACAAAATTCAAAGTTAAAAAAAGAAATGTGGTATAAAAAATGAAATAGAGATTGAAAAGTAACTTAACTGGGGTGTGGTGAGATGGTATTAAAGCCTATTTGAAAATAAAAAAATTAGTGAAATGTTTATTAAAATAGAAGTACCAATGTTTTTTTGCAAGGATTGGTGGAGCCTTTAAATTGTTCTTATTTAAAACTTCTGAAAACTAAAAAATGAGGAGAAAAGCTGCTAATTTTAATTTCTGTTGAATTCCATATACAATCGAATAGAATGGTAGAAGTCTCATAATTACAAAAAGAACATTACCCCAGTAGATTAACTAAATGCCAGGCTTTGTCTGTAAATTGTGGGGCACATGCACACCAGGGTGCATTTGGTAATAGATCTGAGAAGCTACACTTGTGGAATTTTTAAATGGACGCTGAAATAACTTAACGTTTCCCGAGCTGAGCAATGCGTCAACTACCAGGTGGTCTAAAATTTTTGTAAGTTAGGAAGATGAACTAAAATCAAATCATAAATGTACACCTAGGCTATGCTTATTTTAAAAAATAATTAAAAATTAGTTGCTTCCGAAAGTTGACTTCAATTTTCTGTGTCCAGTTAAGTAAAACAATTAACAATGGACCAGGTTTGGCTAATATGTATTTCTTTAAATGTCTTTTTCATTTAACAGTTTAGAAAACCTTCAACCCCCTTAAGGTCGAGGTTAGAGTGTGGTTTAATGTCAACACTGACTTAGTGATAAGGACCAGAAGGTGTCAGTGAAGGGCGGTGGGATCTCTAGATGAAGAAGGTAAGGGGATGCTCGGCTGGCCGAGTCATTTTGGAGTTTGTCTTACTTTTAGATAAAATAAAAGGTATATTTTTGAAAAATTTTTTTAAAAAGATGACAACTTCTCTCGGTGGTTGTAATAGTGTAGAGATGATCTGACTATATTTAAGTTCTGTTGGCTAAAACAAAGTTTTACAGCAGAGCTTAGTGTACTCCATCCATCAAAAACTCATTTAGGATTTCATGAAGCCAAGATGTTTAAAACATTGTGATTTGTAGAATCCATCTTACCATGCATATTTTGATTACCTATGATCTTTGAGTTGTCTCTGTTTTTAAATATATTTAAAAATTTTTTTACTGAAGTTGGAAACTTATTTCTCTTAATTTAAATAGGTCCACACCTTTATAAAATTTGCTGTCTCAAAATTCTGACTTCAAGAGCTCAGATTTATTCATTTCTTTCTCACTACTGAAAATACAAACATAAGAGAGGTGTGCATTTCTGCCAATGTTTTCTACTGTTATAAGACTGTGCTGATATGTTCCATGAACTTCTTAGCACTTTATAGCAGGAAAGAGGCTGGTCGGAAGCTCAAAGCAGTAGAATCTTTGCAGAGGTCTATTTTCTGAGCATTTGTGATCAATAACTCTACATTAGAGACTGGTGCATTTTAAAAAGTAATGAAGTATATAAAACTCCTTAACACTTAAGATTTAGGATTAAAAAGTATTATGAAAAATGTCCTATCTCCTTATCCATACCCTTTCAATTAATTTCTCCTGTTTTCTGTTTTGTTGTTTAAATGTATAATGTTAGAAAGGTTCTGATACATAGAATATTATCAGTTTATATTTTTCCCAGGAACCTGAACAATTTTTTAGTTAATTATTTTCATTGAAAATGAATAAAACCGATTTGGTAGTGCTTTATTGATACAGTGGATATGAGAGGAATTTTTAAATGGCTTTATTATACATATTTACTTTTTAGGAAGATATGATTTTATAATTAAATTCTTCTATCGAAGTTATTTGGCAGTGTTTAAATTATATCCCATGAACTTGATATAAGACTACCCGTTTCACTTTATTTCTGTTTTACCTATTATAAATATGTGCATTAGTTAAATATAGAGCATTTTCATCCCTATCAACCTCTTAAGTTAAAACACAGGTCTTTAATTTCATATTCCAGAGTATTGAGTAGTGTATTTTTGACATTACAGCCTTCTTAAACATCAGCTCATAAGACTTAAAAGCCATCCACAATATGGAAGCTCTTCTTTTCTTTAGGACATGGAAATGGAACTCTAGAAATAGGCCATCAAGTAATTCCAAAAAATAAATCCAACTTCTGTCTATTTTATGGAAATCACAAAATCAACGAATCCACCATTTCTTAATGTAATATAAAATAGTATGAAATTTATCATTTGTGACAAATTTTAGGAAGTACAATCATGTTCTTTTCCCATGTGTTTCTTAAGCTGGAATTCCTTGTGATCACTGCCATTTTTTAAACAGTTCCCAAAATGTTTCATTGGATGCATTTGACAACACAGGTGCAAAATTGATTTTTTTCCTCTCTTCTCAGTGGTCCCTTAAAAATCCATAATGACCTAGATTACTTGCTGCCTTCTAGATACTTCTTTTTATTTAACAGATGGACTTCTCTTATAAGATTTGACAGGACTTGCAGATTTTCTCCTTATGCCAGTCATGGTTCCAAATATTTTCTTTACTCACTTCTATAGACCAAAAAAGTTGAGATCTTGATAGAAAGCAAGGTATTAATGGATATGTATGAGCTTTCCTGCAAGCGTACTGTTTGTGTCTTTACTCTAAAACATGGATCTGCTTAAGGGTTGAAGTGACTAATCTGAATATTATCCAAAATGTAAACAGCTGTATATCTGGCAAGGAGGAAGATGAAAGTATTTCATTTATCTGAGTGATCACAAACTCTTTTGTGATCGCTAACTGGAAAAGTATAATTATACACATAAACGTTTTTTTGAGGGGGGTAGGAATCTGCTCTTTATCATTCTTATAGCTGTTAAATGCTCCAGAAAAGAACATCTTATCTTCCATTATGATCCAGTGGTATCTATAGAATATGGAGCTTAGGAAGAGAAATTTTGCTGATCATTTAGGTGGTAAAAGGTGAATTGAAATTCTCTTCTTCTTGGTAGTCATAACATTGGCAGAAATATTCATCATGAGGCTAAAAAATTATGGGATTCTTACTGAGTGAGATGTCATAATAAAGTAATTATGATTGTAATGTGCCTAGAGCCTAAAACAGGTCTTTAAATGTATTGCCACAAATATTTCACTGGTTGCAAGAGTTTGTATTTATGAGGTAACTAGTAGAGAAATGCTCCATTTATTTGGTGAAGAATTTACTTTTAAGTATATGAAGTTTCATCTTTATTTTCTCAAATATTTAATTTTATATTTAAAAGTGTTAAAGATTTTTTATGAAACTAAACCAAATACAAAGGTAACAGTGTTTAGTTCTCCTAGGTTCTCGCATTTCAGTTTTATACAAGAATTTACTTTTCAATGGTGTAATATTTGCTGAGATACTATTGTACTTTATAGTCTCTAAAATGAGAGGGTTAAATGAAATGCTTGTAGTTAAGATGAATAATAATTGGAGGATAAAGATACAGGTGAGTGGCAGTAGGAATTTAAAAAAGAGCTCATTTTCTAGAAGTAAATTTTCATTTAATTCGTATTTCATGATCATTAAATA